TTCTCCTTTTGCTTTCATTCATCTTCGATCCAAGATGCGAAAGTTGTTTGACCGCTTCAAGTAGCTTGGGGTGATCAGGATGAGTGATTGCCGTGTACTGTAATTATAGGAGCTCTTAAAAAGCGAAGTAGCCCAACGCTTTCATTAACTTGCTTGGTATCACTTGCTTTTCAAATTATCAAGTAGTTAGAAGAAAAAACAGCTATGAAAGTGATAATGAACATATTCTATATATGTAAGCCCAAATAGGACGAAAAAAAAGAATCACAATTTGTTAATTAGTTGCTAAACTTGCGAAACTCAGCCTATTTTCCATAAGCATCTTGTGAAATAGAAAGGCACTAAAATAAAGACTGAAAAATACCTTCGCAATTTCACTCAAGAATAGAGGATATTTGACGCAGCGCTGAACTGGACGGCTAACAGCAGTAGACGCATCAAATACACCAGCACCACTTGCACGCATTCTGACTACCAGTTCACGAAGCGCGGTCTCAATTTTAGGGTCAGTTTTCTGTAAAACGTAAAGGCTAATTATATAGGTGAAATTGGTACAAGATATACAAATTTGAGAGCAAGAAACCTATTCTAAAGCAGTTAGCAAAAAAAAAAACAAGCGATACGATTTAAGGTATGTGGGATAACCCACCGATGCCATAAGTAAGGAGTTGATGTGGTCGATATTACGAAAATAATAGCCATAAGTATTCCCAAATGATTTACGAAGTCGAAGGAAACATTCTCCAATCATCTGCTGTTCAGTTGGCTTCACTAAAACCTTTACAGATAACTGTTAGAATGCTTCTACACAACAGAACTAACTAAACAAAACAAATGATGATATATAATTATTCGCTGCTTATATTAGAAAACACTGTTGGTAAGAAAAAATGTTACGAAAATCAATAAAACTTGCTTTGTTCATTAGTGAGTCCTTGCACAAGAGCACGAGCTAATTCCACAACTTGTGCGCATCCGTTTTTCATAATTACTTTCTGTTTTGAAGACAGTCTCGTGCTTCCATCTACTGCCTTAAAGTGAACAAAAATTACCAAAAATATACGTAGTGAAACTAGGTCAAAGAGTATAAGAAAACGTCAATCTACCTCGGTGTATGCGTTGATATCAGTTATGAACTGCAATTCAGTATTTATAAGTTCCTCAAGAACTTTGGCTCGTTTTTCATCTTGATTCAAATTTGAGTTGGAAACGTTCGCGCTAATCACAGGAGCATTCTGAATTACACATAATAAACATCATTCTTCACCTATTAGAGACTATTTAAAGTACCAAATTACCTGTTTTTCGGCCATACCAAACATGTCTGTCACAGAAATCATTTCCGATGGTGACATTGTTGTAGTCTAAATGTAAAAACAATCCGACATATTTAAGCACGAGCATCAGCCTTTCCTGCTGATAAAAAGAAACCATTTTTCTGTCAATTCAAAAGGCACCTTCGGTGGAGGTGGCCTTGCAGGCGGTGGCTTCTTTTCAGTTGTGCTATTCCATTCATCCCCAAATGTAGCCCACTCATGTGTCTGAGCACTAGCTGAACATCGAGTCATCAAATAAATGCGAGAAATAAAACTGAAGTGAAGCTGAAAATGAGACCAAACGCTTACAGAAAGGCGGCGGCGGCTCCTCAAGTCTCGTTGAAGTGCGCCAATCTGGGATAGTTTGCGGATTGAATGATCCACTGGCAAGAGTGGAGAACTGAAAACACCTTGACTGGGAACCAAGGACCGCATGGTGAGAGCACTGAGATATACTATGCTACACTATACATCATTACTGAAAGAAAAAACTTTTGGCATACCGATAATAAGATTGCAACGTCTACTTTCATTTTGAAAAAAAAACCTAAGATTCGAGAAAGGAGGACATTTAGAACGGAAAACTTGGGCATAGAGCAGTTTAAGATCTCTTTATCATTTTAAAAAAATACCCTAGCTTATACTATTTACAGGGGAACTGCGATATTATCATAGGTCTAGGCAAAATTATCAAATCTTAAACGCTTTTCCCTCACTCCTTAAAATGGCTAGAAACAAAAATCACTTACGCTGTGATCACTCACACTACCAGGGCGAGGGTGCGCCGCTGAGCCATCACGGTCTTCCTCATCTTCATCTAGATACATCTAAAAGAAAGACTGTCATTTAGCGATTAAAATATAGATTCGAATGATAGCAGTAATCTAATCCTACAGTTTCTGCAAATGTAGCCATTGATGATGAATAAAATGAACAACTAAAAGTATCAAAACAAATTCATTTGTGTAAGGGTTCAAGTCGAAATAAATGATCATTTACTCACCTCAAGAAAGGCTACTGGCACTATGCCAGAAGTATCCGTGTTGGGATCCTTGCATGAAACCCAATCTGTATTCACCTGAACGTGGGAAATAGTACTCTACACACCTTTTTTAAAACAACAATAAAAACGAACCATTTTCAAGATTCTAACGGAATCGCCCATTTTGACAGTGAGTTCATCATTCTGCCTAGCAGTGAAATCATGTCGGACAGTGGCAAACCTGCATAAGAAAATCGAATCAGGAAAGCAAGAACGAGTTTACTATAAAAGGTGCTGTGAGAAGAGTAAGCTTTGAAAGATAGCTAGAACATACCCGATACCCTCTTCTGCTGCGCTGTGTCTCCTGTTATCTGTTTCATGAGCACTGTCACCAGGAAGATCGACGACAATTTGAACAAATGATTGAGGAAAAATGCCTGTCTTGCCATTCACACTTCCTGAAACAAAGAATAAGATTCTCAAAAAACACTACGATTGTAAAGGCAAATTGAGAACCTTCAAGCCAATCCTTATCAATCCTCTTCGTCAGCGTGACAATGTCATCAACGTTGAGACTAAGCTCATTTGGAAACTCTGCTCTACAAGAAAAGACTCAAGAACTTAGAAAAGATGCAAAATATTGTTATAAAGTCAACTTCTGAATATAGACTTACGTAAATGGATACACTGCTCTTGCGTATGGAAGAACGGTGTAATTTGAGTTACTAGTCAACTGTTCTCGAAAATGCACATCAGTAAAGTTCGTTGTGAAAGAAGATGGAATAGCTGGTGGAACAGCTGGAGCTATGAATCCAGTCAACTGCAAAGCATTGTGAATGTTTTTAAATATAAAGAGTGCCAAAGAATATGATAAATGGAGGCTGAGCTGCCAGAACATCAAAGCTTTGGCTAAAAAAGAGATTTTCGCTCTTAATCGATATTTGGCCGCCAACAACTTTTTTGTGAAAAAAA